TTGATTAAAATACAACATCTTTTCAAATCAGATCTGTCAGTGATTATACAATATTAGAAAAGTTTTTGATAAATTTTTGATAAAAGTTGACAAACTCTAGAAAGCTTCTAGTCTCCTTTACTGAGATCAGTGCCTCTCAGTTGAAAATTGCTTCCATCTTCTTAGAATTCATGCATATACCTCTTTCAACTTCAATGATGAACCTCAGATAAATCATAAACTTAATTTTAAAATCACATTTATCAATATCCATCTGTAATCTAGCTTCACGTAAGTGGGTAAGCATTTGTCATACATCCTTGCAATACTTAGTGAGCGAGCCATCTATGAAGATTAGAATATTATTCATATATGCTGATGTGATCTTATTCAGTATGTCTCATAAAGCTCAATTGATATATTTCTGAAATGTACTTGAGACATTCACCAGTTCAAAGAGAGTCACTGTCCATTTAAATAAATCATAATATGTGTGAAATGCTATTAATCACTCATTACTTTCATTGATTCTTATCTCATAAAAGGTTGCTGATATATCAAGCTTTGTAAACCATTTTGCTTTTTCTATTCATTCAAATATTTCATTGATGAGTGGGAGAGAGTATCAGTCCTTCTATGTGATTCAGTTGAGTTCTCAGTAGTCTACATAGAATTGTAAATCTTTTTTAAATATCTTCACAAACAGTACAAATGCTGCAGCAGAGGAGTTGCTAATTCAGATGAAGTCTTTATCTAATAATTCATTGAATGTTTTTTATAAAACAAAAAGCTCATCATGTTACATGTTGTAGAGAGAGCCTTAAAATAATTGTGAATTTTTATCATCTTTTTTAATGAGCTCAATTGTATGATCTATGTCACATTCTCAAAAAGGGGGAAGTTCTTCAGCTGCTTTTTCATCAAACACATCTGCAAAATTTTTATATGATTCAGAAAATTCTTTGCAAGATTTCTTGAAATTTTTAAATTCTAACTTTTCTAATACTTTGTTGATATTTACTATTCATAGCGAACACTTGAGCATTCTTTTAAAAAAGTATTAATCTTGTATATTTAATGAATTAATAGTTTAAATGCTTCTGCTGATATCTGAATGAGATAAGTGGTTTTGTTGATATTCTTTTTGTAAATGTGGTCATCTTCTGAGAAGATTAGAGAACAATTGTATGTATCTATCAAAGTTTTACATTCTGTAAATTATGACAAATTAAGCATTAAGTTTTACTTAAGATCTTGCATTTCATATATATAAACATTTTTTTTCTCATGTTCTTCTACATCAATGTTGAATTTTATCATATTGTAGAAGACGGATCCTTTGAGGCCATTGAATTCACTGAATTTATATGATTCAGAAAAGAGAATAGACTGAACCTTATGCTTTTCAATCAATAAAATGTTTATAAAAACATAATGAAAAAAACCACTGTTTATTATTGCTCATATATTGATTAAACTATTTACAATGATAGAGATTATGATTGTGTTTGTTTGCATTTTCTGCTCAAATCTTCAGCTTGCTTCTTGCTTCTTAAACTCTTATCTGTGTTTTAAAATAAGAGCTTTTCATTTTCTTGTTCTTGCTCATTCATAAATATAATTGCATTCACACATGGTGTAGAAGCTAGAACCACTGCATTGATGCACTAACTTATAAAATGCTCCAGTCTGTTGCAATAAATGCAAACTTCTCAGATGATTTAATCAGTAACTTTTCATTTAAAAAAATCAGATATTCTTGATCATTCTGCATTCATATGAGAGGTTCAATTCATGACATCTGCAGAAGTGATTGATATAGTCAACACAGTGATAGATGTAAAATTCTGTCTATAATTATTACAACTTTCTTGTACAGCATTGAAATGTGCAAGATTGTTGTCAAATTAACGCAAGTAGATGCAGTAATCATGATAATGCAAATGTATAAAATGTGAGATGTAGAGTTTAAACAGTTTAAAGCTGATGTGCTGATTTAAAAGATTAATCTTCACAGCATTGTTTCAATTCTATTCTTCTACTTCACAAATTGTAATGCACTCGTTTATTATTTCCTTATTATTATATTATCTTTGTTTATATCTTCGTCTATTCTTACCTCTTTCCATTATACTCTCGCTACCACTATTTCTGTATGTATATATATATGGATGCATGTATTTCGCACATCTTCTTTCTCTTTCTTTTCCTCTTCAGCGATTAGCTACAACTACAACTACAACTACAACTACAACTACAACTTCAACTATACTACTACTATAATTATTATTATCTTCCACTACACTATATACTATCTTCTACTATTCACTCTTCACACTGTCATCACCCCTCACACAAATCTTACTATCAAAATCAAGCAGATTGTTCACTAAGAAAATATTTCTTTGATGATTTCTATTCAGCCACTGCATTGCACACATTTACAGTGTAGAATTCAAGAATAGAATATTTAATTGATGAAAGACTTCTTCAGAGATACACATTTCATGCATGTATGATTCAATTCAAAGTTGAAACTTCACTAGAGTGTCTTCTTCTAACTGACTATAAATATAACAAATTTGTGAAAGTAGAGAGTCTATCATAGATTCACAGATTCATCTTCTTCAATTTTAATTTTTAATTTTTATTTTCAAATTAAATAGATTAAAAGCTTTTTTGTGAACTTGTTAAGAAAAGAAAGATGTTCTTTTCTTTCATATGCAGAGAGTGTTAACACTTACACAGTTTCTAATGTATTTATATTTAGATAATTCAATTATCATTGAAGCTTCATTATTTGTAAGAACTGTTGTTAAAGAAAGTTATAAAACTTAACATTATCTTTTATAAAACTTCAGTTTTCATTTATAGAAAGATGTTTATAATTCATTTTATTTTTATATAAGGTTATGATTTTTGATTCTGATAATTTGAGAATCGGAAGATTCAATTCATTGAAGAAAATATTTCATAAACATTTTGATTTCTTTATAAACATACAATTGTGAAGTTTTTAAACATTTAGTTTTTTTCATAGTATTATTTTATTATTATTATTCTTTTTCTGTTATACTCATATGCAAGCAGTGCTTATGATGAGTCCTTGTGTAATGTTAAATACAGACAAGAGTTGGTTATATAGAAGAAATGCTTAATGTTGAATGATGTCAAAAATATAATAAAAATATAAAAAAATTAATGAAAGACAAGATTTGATATTTATGATATAGATTTCCAGCTCAGAAATAATAAATTAAATCAGATAGTAGATTCATCTGAAGATATTTACTTGGCAAGTTCACATTCCTTTTATTTTAAAAGCTGAGAAGTTGGCTCTGGATGTAATGTTGTCCTCTTGTGGGTTTTGAACCCACGCGCCTTGGGTCCCCACACCAAGGCGCTACCTGGTGGCCGCATTACCCATTCGGCCACCGGGGCTTCACAGCACTATCGCAATGGTGCAGCTTTATAGAACTTTAAAAATTGTGGATGTTAACACAACAACATAGTTTTGTGAGGACTTGATAACTTATTTCTTAACTTGAGTACCTGGGTGCAATCATAAACATAGAACACTCAGGCTGACACAGATGAATCAATTCATAATGTAATGAGTGTACTTTGATTAACAATCTAGCACTATTCTAAATACAGATTATGAATTGATTAAGGAAAGAAAGAGAAAAGAGATCAGAAGGAAAGGTCGTACGAAGAGGGTTCTTATAGAGGGGAGATCGGGGCGGAAGAATATCAGAAGCCGCCCCACGGTGGAGCACGGAGCGGAGCACAGAGCGGAAGAACATTAAGGGTTACGCGGAAGAATCGTTAGAACTACGCGAGCGCGGAGCGCAATAACAGGGACGAGTAGGTGCAGGAGGGGAGTTGGTTGCGTAAGTTAACTACTAACGGGTGCTAACCCGTCATACATTGAAGAATTGGAAATTATTTGTAGAAATCATATTTTTATTTCAGAGTGAATAGTGATTGCATCTGCAGTGGATATGAGAAGGTTTCAAGATTGCAGAATGTGTAGAACAGAAAACATGAGATAGTGAAGAGATATCAACAAATCAAATTACATAGAATTTAGTATGAGAAATTATAGATTGGTACTTCAGAGCTAACAGCTTAGCTGTTACACTAATAGTATTGCACTAATTGTATTCTAGTGGCCAGACAAGCGGATAAGGAATTCTAACTCCTTCATATTTTCCTTTGTGATTATGGTGCCAGCAAACAATTTACCCATCTATGCAGGTCAAAACCACACCAAAAGCCCGAATGCATTCAAGATTTTTGGGTTCAAAAAATGAAACTAGTATGAATAACTTACTAGTAGCAACTAGTAGTGGACCCTTCAGATGTAATATGTAGGTGGATTATTAACCAGCCATATTAACTACCTTGGGAATTCTCCAGGTTATTCAGCGGCATGCGTTGCGCATATTTAACTTCCGTGCAACAGCCGTATACGGTACTCTGCACCTGTGGGGGATAAATCAGGCAAAAATGAGAATGAATGAATGTAGGATGCTGTCATACGTGGAGTGACTAGTAGCACTAACTAGGGACTGTAACCCACTATTGCATACATGGTAGAATGCGATGGTGGAGTCAATGGGATTCAGAGTGGGATGGGCTGCTGTCTTTTTCAACAGAGGTGGTAATTTTGCCGGTGCTGTTTAGCTCCAGAGAAACTGCTGTAAGATTGGTAATATTTGTGTTGGGCTGTGCCGCCGCCAAGCCGCCCCGCCAATCTCGTGCCGGTCTCAACATCCTCGTCTTCCACTTCCACTTCCACTTCCACTTCTACTTCTACTTCATTAGTTCTTCTCTGCTTGATTTATCACTCTTCGCCATCCCCATCTGTGCATCCAAGATCTTTCATTGTCCACTCCGTGTGCCCACCGTGCTGAGATCTAGATATCCTTGTGTTCTGCCAACTTTTTTGAGACACCTCTTTTTCGGCCTTCCCACCCCTACTCCTCCGCTCTTTTCGAGATCTATCCACCGCAACCATGGGGAGCTACACTGACGTCGACCAATTGGCCATCAACACCATCAGAGTGCTGGCTGTGAGTGACTTTTCTGTTGTCAATTGCCCCCCTCTCTCGCTGTCCAAATGGCGGGGTACCGACGCGGGGCATGCGGGGCGGGGACACCAAGATACAACTTTTGGATATCCAGCTTCCAGCAACGCCCTCTACCCATACTATGCCATTCGTTCGTTTTTC